CGCTGCAGTGGCTGAACAGCTCTTTTCCTCCCCTCAGAAGGATGAGGGCTCCGCTGACCCCAGCCTTGTCTCTTTACTTTCTCATCTCTCCTGTCCTTCACCCCAAGAACCTCAAGAGCCACGTGGGTCCCGGCACCACTCCCAGGGGACACCCAGGGATGGCCACGCTTGGCGGCAGGACAAGTCTTCCAAACCTGTGTCTACCACTTTGGGCTGTTATTTCTCCCCTATGAAATCTACTCAGAGCTCGGCAAGTTCCATGAAGGTGTGAGGTATGACTTTGATGGGGAATTCACTACATTTATAGATGAACACAATGGACCTCCTTCGGGTCGGGCCTCCCCCTCTCATCCGCTGTTCTCTGGGTTTCCACCCTGTGGGTCCCTCCTGTCTTCCGCGGGGGTTATCCCTAGGCGCCTTGGAGCTGTTCTAAGCAGTTTTCCAGACCTCCTGATTGGTTATTATTGGCACTGAGGAACATTAGTTTTGGCTAGAGATCAGCCAGAGCCTGGTGCCTGCTGGGCAGATGCTTTACTGCAAGGCCACACCCTCTAGATGCTATTTTTATATACTGATCTGATGCCCAGCAACCCGGTGTGAGCTCTTAGTAGTCCAAGCAGGAGATTCCTCTGGATTTTCCATACAGACACACAATCCGATTGCTTGCTCTGAAGCATAAATTTGTCTCTCTCTTCCCTCGTTCTATTCTTATTTTTCTTATCTCCTTGGACCAGCAGGACTTCCAGCACAGTACGATGTGGTGACATTTTGCTTCTGACTTTAATATGAGTGTCCTGAAAATTTTAATGTTCAGCACCATGTTTTAATTTTACCAGGCCAAGGAAGTTGACTCCCAGCTCTTGTTTGCTATGGATTTTGTGCTGTTTTTATTTTCTAAATGATCACTGAACCAGGTATGGTGGCATATGCCTCCAATTCCAGCACATGGGTGCCTGAGACAGGAGGATCACCTCAAGTTTACTTTCCTTTTCCTCCAGTGTCTCACCATGTATGCTATATTCATGATATACAGAATAAGTCTATAAAATTCCTTTAAAATAGATGTCAGTTTCAGTATCTGCCAATATTACTATATAATACGTATGTATAATTTACGGGCATTCCTAACCTTAGTGTAAACTTATTTATTAAATAATTAAGAGGTTTCTATTCCTAAGTTTAAATGGAAAAATGCATGTTCTCCTTCTTAACTCTAATGCTCTGACAGGAAACTTCACTCTCATCTAGGATCAAGTGATTTAGTGAAACTACAAAATATAATTTTTCAGCTTGTACTGATAGTTCTAAAGTATTGTTAGGCTTATACATTTTTATTGCCAGAGACTGTCTCCAAAACCACAAAACTGTTTTTAAGTTATACTTTTAGTTTACTTACAGTACTTAGGTACAAGGCTGTGCCAGAAGCACGAGCAGTGGTGTGTGCCATCTGTGTGTGACCACCCTCCTGCGTGTGTTGTGTGGGGACTTTAACCATGGATGAGTGCCTCAAAGTCCAGCGCTCCTCAGTCTCACTTGGCTGCACCAGGTAAACGTGGTCAACATTTTTAATCTTTAGTCGAAAGAAAGAAGTGGCCTTTCTTCTTTTTGACCTGCTGTGAGCACTGATCTTACTTCACCTTTTGAGAGTCTTGTTGCTGAAGTAGCTCCTGGTAGCGAGACCACAGGCACAAGCCACTAAGCCTGGCTGAGTGAAAGCTGATTTTCATTTGGAAGTAATTTAAACAGATGTGTTTATTTAAAAATAAAGGCCTTCACCAGGTGTGGTGGCTCATGACTATAATCCTAGAACTCAGGAGGCTGAGGCAGGAGGATTGCTGCAAGTTTGAGGCCAGCCTGGGCTACAAAGTAAGCTCAAGGCCAGCCTGAACTGCATGGTGAAACCCTGTTTCAAAAAGGCAAAATAAATAAATAAATAAATAAATAAATAAATAAATAAATAAATAAAAATACAATATTCAATATTTTATATTTGAGATTGGCAAAGAATTTGGTTGATCAACAAAAGTATCTGGCAAAATTTTGTTTCTGTTTGCAAACTCTGCATTGGGTGACCAACAGGACTGTGGCCATCTTTCCACACAAACATAAACACCTTTCCAAAACTAAGTTCATGAACTGAAATATCACTGAAATACCCAGCTTTTTATCCAGTCTTTTTTCTTGAAATCCCTGAACAAAATGACCATGCCTTCTGGAATGGGTCTTAGGCTGTTTCCACAATTAGAGCGCCAGCACCAAGCTGGAGCAGGGACAGGTGGAGGGTGGGGACAGTCCCCAGTGAGCACTGCTCCGCACAGTGGCTTTCCTGGCCCTCCAGACACCCTCTTCTTGTCACCCTGCCGAGCCCTCTGGTTTCTTCCTCAGCTACCCAATGGCGCTGCAAGCCTTTAAAATGTCTTGTGGTCTTGTGTTCAAGATGTATCAACCCCACTAGAATTATTCACTTAAGCATTTTATTTAGACATTTAGGAATGTGTTGGTGTTAATGTACTTGCTTCAGCATTAGTACTCTAGGCCTTAAAAACTACAGAAAGAAAAAGAAAGTCAGTCCCCTTAACGTGAACTGGACCTCACCAAGTACCCCATTTTCTGAGGAGGCCAAGGGCAAACAGCAATAAAGAAAATTACAGGGGGTGCTCGAGCCCATGCTAGTGGTGAACAGGCTACGTCTAAATCAGGAGCCAGGCAGCCTGGATGTCACTGAAGAACTGACCTCACAACTACGTTAACGGTGATTCCCCGTGCCATGACCTCATTGGGATCTTACTTATTACCTGTGCAAAAGGTGCAGAATCACAGCTCTGTAACGCTGAAGAAACCCAGAAGTGGTCTAGTTTATCTCCCTTATGTACAGCTCAAGACACAGAGGCCCGGAGGGAGGGCACTGCGCTCTTCTGCAGCCCTCAGCGCCCATCTGAAGCCAGCAAAGCCACTCCTACCTCCCGGGACACACAGCCGGCAGCCGCCTGCCTTCGGAGCTCTGTGCCAGGCCACTGTTCAGGCTGCCACAGCGCTGCTTTCTGCCGCTGTTTGCAACATTTCCAGTGTGCATGTGTCCAACACATTTTAAGCTTTTACTCTTTCTAAAGTGAACATTTTCACCTTTTATAAAAATTGTTAACTATGATTATATGTTAAGGACAATCCAATAACTTGATTCTACAAATCAGAATCAATGTTTTAAAAAGCAAATTCAGACATAGTTACTCTTGCTTAGTGAACAAAACTCTCAGCTCAATAATTATGTATTTTACTATTCCATTTACATTACTGAGGAAAATTACATGTTAAAATGTTTTCTATTTTGGGGGGAGGCAAAATTTCTGCAGTACAAATATAATTTCAATTTTCTTACTGAAATCTATTTCTATAAGTATGCAACCCAAACTCTTTTTTAGGGTCCAGAATAAATGATTCACTTGAAAACATAACAGGAAAGAGTTTCATGAATAAATGAGCAATAATTTATGGAGACATCCAGGTGGACTGAGTGGGGAAAAAACTAATTGTTTTTGATATTTACTTTCATTAGGTTAACAGTAAATTTCAAACAAACCATTAATTCCTCAAAATAAGGGAAAAATGCAAGAGTGCAGCCGCTTCACGGCAACCGCTGATTCTGGCAGCTGCGGTAGTTTTTAACAAGCAAGCAACAGGGTGCTACCTGGTCACCACGAAGAGCACTTTCTACCACTGTGCAAATGAAAACTGGGATGAAACTACTGTTAATTTATTGTCTTTAAGCATTACACGAAAAAAATTTTTTTTAAATACTGTCTTTCTAGACACAGACACGATGTCAAGGCTCCAAGCGCGAGCTCGGGTCTCTTTTCCCCCTTGAACCCAGAGACACCTGTGCGGCCGGGCACTGACACGCCTCCTCGCAGGCGGTCACCTGCAGTCCAGGGACAGCAGATCTGCGGGAGAGGAGGAAAATGTGAGCGCTGTCGTCCTCTGTCCTCTCAACAGGGTGATCGAGGCGACGGCCTGCAGCGTGCAGGGTGACTGAGGCGGGTGCCAGTTCTGGGGTGTTCTGCCGCTGTTCAGCACTTTAGCAAAGCCCGGGCGAACGCACAGCCTGGAACGTCCTGGCAGCGCCTCACGCCCTCCACACGCGTGACGCTGTCTGGGACACGCATGACTTTAAGGGTGAAGATTTGGTGAGGGGCAGCAAGCACGGTCACGTAACACGTGTGACACTGGTGGGAACGCGGGGACAGCCATTCCCCTCCTGGATGAAGAGTGACGACGCGCTGGCCCTGCCATTACCCTGTGCCTACCTTCTCCCTGGGCAGAAGCGCGCGGCCCGGGCTCAGCCTCCGGTTCCTGCAGCCTCCCACACCTGCAGCCTCGCGTCCCTGCAGCCCCTTGCACGGCCCGCGGGGCAGAGATGTGCATGCTTGGGGCACCGCCCTGCTGCACTTCTAGGTGAGAGCCCCTGCCTATTTCTCAGCTGTCCACAGAGGGTCATCGGGTCCCCCACCTTTTTTTGAGGCAGAGTCTCACCGTGCAGTCCAGGCCGACCTGGAACTCACGGTGATCGTCCTGCTTCAGCCTCTAAGTGCGGGGTTACAGACGTGCGCCACCACGCCCCCGTGAGAGGGTCACTTTTGATTGGCACATTCTGAAGACATTTTGAGAAACTAAAAACTACGGTTCCAACAACGTCCCTGTCCCAGCCACGAACTGCGCCCGGCAGGAGGAACAGTGCTCGCCAGCCCGGGGCGTCCGCACCGGCTCCTCGGCGGGTCTCTGCGGGATGCCGGCCCTGGCGCCCACGCCCCGCAAACCCTTCGCGCGCGCCGTCTCACGCACTCAGCAAGACAGCACCAGCCAAGGCTCCCCTTCCAGGAAAAGACTTCCTGAATTTTCCCCAAAGGGAGGCGCGCCCAGCCCGGCCCCGACCGCGCGCCCACTCGGGCCGCCGCCCAGCGCCGAGCTCCTGGCCGGCCGCAGAGCCCGGCGGACCCGAGCCTTACCCGCTCCGCCGCGTCAGCCCGCCGCGCTGCTCTGAGCGCCGGGCTCACACGTGCGCGCGGCCCCACGCGGCCCCGCGCCCCGCCGCGCCCCCACGTCCGCCCCGCCCCCGCCCGCCGCTGCGCCCCGCCCCGCTGGCCTGGTGCCCTGCTCAGCCTCGGGGCGTGGGGCGCAGGGCCAGGGAGGAGGAGCGGAGGAGGAAGAGGGGAGGACGCGGGAGGCAGCACCTGGGCCTTGCTCAGACCCTCAGGCTCTCCACGTCCCCGCAGTCCCAGCTTCCCTGGCCGCGAAGGGGGAAGGCGTCTGCCCACGCGGAGAGGGACACCTCCACTAAAGCCTGGAGCAGGGCCAGGCCTGTCCGGTCCACTGTGCACCAGCGTGGTGTGGATGCCGCGTGTGCCTCTGGCTCCGGGGTAGCAGGGTCCCCACCCTGCTGACTGTCTGGTCTCTGAACTGGACTCTCCCCCCACCAACTAGGACAGAAAAACTCCCCGAAACAGATCTGTTATTTGCACGGGGGTGGTGGTGGGGGGCTCATGGAGTTCAACAGGAAACGGACAGCTGCACCACGCAGCCCGACTTGCAAAGAGATGGTTCCACAAAGAACCACAAGAGATGTGCTGTGCCTGCCAGCACCCCCTGTCCCCAGCCGGGTCTATCACCTAGCCTTAGCCCCCTAACCCTAACCCTAACCATAACTCAGGGACCAAAAATTCTGCACCCCTTCAGCAAATACCTCCCTCTCCTATCTATACTCCCCTATAAAAACAGCCCCACCCCTCGCTCAGGGCCGATGGGCATTTCACCCTTGGCCTGACCGCACCCGGTTGCATGCTGCTTCAATTTTGCCTGCCTAGTGGCCTCAATGGACTCTGTTATACCTTGGCTTAGCCTAACACTGACCTCAGGTGGTGACCGCTGCACAGTGGACCACGGCTTCGGAATCTCCCCCTGAGTGGTCGGCATTGCCGGAGTGGCAAGCGCTGCCCTGGGGAGGCCTAGGGTCTCTGGGGCCTCCACCTGGGGCCTTTGGGCTCCAGCCTGCTTGACGGGCTGCTTGATGGTACCTGCTTGATGGTACCTGCCCCAAAAGAACCTGGTAGCCAGGAGGAGAGGAGGCCACTGCGAAGGCCTGGATGGCGCATCTTCCACTTTGGGAGCCCGGAAGCCTAGTGACATAGCAGATGGTTATGTGGGCGTAGTAGTGTTTCAGATTTGAGAACTGTTACTCTAAAAGGCTTATAAGTGTTTTAACGTTTTTCTTTATTTTTTTATTCTTCAGGACGCCCAGGCGTGGTTTCTATTTATTTTTACTTTGCAGGAACGTTTTAATGTTTGCAGTTTCTTCCATGGGCATTAATTACTGGATTCCACGGGTAAAAAATAAAAATAATGTAAAGTGACATTGGGTGACTCAGCTACTGTCAGAGCAGCCGGGGCGCAAGCTCCCCAAGTTTCCACGGATGGAGGATGGACCCACAAAACGTGGTTTGTACCTGCAGCAGTGGACTGTGACTTGGCTTTGAAAAACATGCGATTCTGATAAATGCACCACATGCATGAACCATGGAAAACGCTGGATGAAGTGACGGTCCCACCGGAAACGAGTGCTGCGCGCCACAAAGCGCGCGGAGGTTGCCAAGGCCCGGAGCAGCGGGAAAAGGAGCGCGAAGCAAAGGGCTCTGAGCACAGACGTGCCGTGAGCGCTGCGAGGCAGAGAGGTGCTAAGGCCGCGAGAACTGGGCGCCACTGAAAATGAAAACTTACTGGGAAAGCCTGGCGAAACTGGGAAGATGCCGGGCGTGGCGGGCACGCCTGCATCCTGGCACTGGGGAGGCTAAGGCAGGACGATCGCCGCGGGTGGCAGGCCAGCCTGGACTACACAATGAGTTCAAGGCCAGCCTGAAGTACATAGTGAGACCCTGTCTCAAAACCAGAGTGAGCAGGTAGGAGTTCCTGGCACCGGCTTGTTTACTCCCGGGCAGACACTTTAGATGAGAACTTTAGATGCATTGCTTCTCACTTGATTTCAACTTATGTGGCAAATGTCTCTGTCTACATAGACACCTATACGTATACCAAGCTGACCCGAGCTGCACTCCCCACCCGCGGCTCCCAGCGCGGCTCTGCAGCGTTTTGCAGGGGGCGGGCCTGGCTGCGGACGGGCGCCGCCCTTCTGCGCCGCGGAGGCGCCCCGCGTGCTTGCCTCGGGTGCCCCCTGGCGGCCAGGGTGCGAACTGCTCCTCAAGATTGAAAGGGAACGAATCGCGGGGGTGCCGCGGGTGCTGGATGGAGGGACCTGTCCCGCCTCACGTGGGACCCAGAGTGAGCAGTAAGGGGAGATTTTAACGGTGCCTTTTTGTTGATAACGTGTAAGCTAAATTAAAAAATGCATATTTCTCGTTTAGTTTAAAATGAGTGTGGACAGTACTGTGTATTACCTACCTCTGGTTTACTAATTGGGAACACACAGCGCTTACGTTGTTACTTTGTTTTTTTTACTATCTCTTTTGTGTCTAGCCCAGCTACTCATTGACTATTTTTTTTTTTTTTTTTTGGCTTTTTCGGTACCAGGGATCAAACTCATGACTGCCTGCTTTCAAGGCAGGCGCTTATGCCGCTGAGCTAAATCCCCAGCCCCCTCATTGACTATTTCTCACAGGAGGCTTTGGGCTGTGTGTTGGGGGAAGCAAGAAGATCCTATTTTCACTACTTAAATAATGTACTGTGCTGAGCTGTCCCTCTGCTGGAGGATTTGAGTTTGTTCATTCTAAATTGCGAAGTATTCATAAATTAGCACTTGGAACATTTATTTCTTGACCTAGCATTTGTAGTCAATGAAAAAAACTTAGTTTTTTATTTGTGTGTTTATCTCCAGTGATAGGAGTGGAACCCAGGTCCTCGTCATGCTGGGCAAACAGACTCCAGGCTTAAAGCATAACCATTTAAATTTACTCTGATGTGATCGCAAACCTTCTGCAGATATATTTTAAAATGCACAGTGTGGAGGTGGCAAGTTACTTGCCTTCTTAAAGGACATGGTAGGAGCAGAGCTTGCTGTTTTGCTGCATCTGTGTAATTTCCTACTGAATTTTATAACAACATAGTTTTAATTTTGTTTGTTGGTTTCTTGAGACAGGGTCTCACTATGCAGTTTAGGCTGGCCTTGAACTCACTGTGTAGCCCATGCTGGTCTTGTGCCTTATCCTCCTGGTGATCCTCCTGCCTCAGCCTCTTGAGTGCTGGGATTACACGTGAGTGCCACCACAGCTCAGACTTGGCCCTGTTATGCTTTTAATCAGTACTGGATATTGAAATATCCCTAGCCTTTTAATTTTATTTGAGGCTAAGTTTTACTAAATTTCCCAGGTGGGACTTGAACTTGTGATCTTCTTGCTTTAGCTTTGTTTTATGCTGGGAATGACAAAATTTTAATTCCTTGATTTTAGGAATCTTAGGTGCTAGGGATATAGCTCAGTGGCACAGTGCCTGCCTGGCAAGCAGGAGGTCATGAGTTTGATTCCCAGTACCAAAAAAATAAATAAGACTAAACAACAGCTTTTAGAATGCTTTCACTTGTACAAAGTAACCCACCCCCCCTTTTTTTTGTTCTCTTGAGACAAAGTCTCACTATGTAGTTCTGGCTGGCCATGAACTGACTTTGTAACTCACAGCAATCCTCCTGCCTTGGCCTCCTGAGTGCTGGGATTACAGATGTGTGCCACCGTGCCCAGCCTCAAACCAGCCTATTTCTATCAAGTCATATTCATGGCAAAAGTTTATAGCCAGTGTCACATATTTTAAACCTATCTGTTTCACTTTTCTCTTGTTGCTGTGACAAAATACCTGGCACCCAAAACTAAAAAAAGAATATTTTATTTAGCTTAAAGTTTGTGGAGTTTTTAGTCCGTAATCAGCTGGCTCCAAGGCGGGGCGGCATGGTACAGGGGCAACATTTCATGGCAGTGGAAGACAGCAAAAGCAGCAAGAGCAAAAAGGAGGGAGAGCAAGCTCTTCTCCTTCTTTGTATTGTTAGGAGGCTGCCAGCCCCAGGATGGCACTCACACCACCTTCCTGCCTGCTATTGGGTGAGAGTTTTTACAAAGTGAGGACCCTGGTCCCCTGCTCAGTCACTTAAATGGCTTTAACTTTTGAAGTTGACACAATGTATCAACCATCTTCTCAAAGAGCTTATTTCCTTCAGAAATCTTATCTGTCACTTGGAGTCCCCACCTCTACTGCATTCCTCCATAAATAGTGCCAGGCTACTTTCAGAGCAAAAAGGAATGTTATAATTGATAGTTTAGTCTTTCCCGAGGCTGCCTCCTAAGGGAGGCAAGATCTTAACTGTGCACCATGTAAGGAATAAGCATCTCTAACAAACTCTTTAGATCTCTTAGATCCTCCTGCATGGGTGAGGATTTGGCCTATTACAGCCCGGTGTGGTGGTGCCTGCCTATAATCTCAGCTACTTGGGAGCTCGTCTGAGGTTCTGAGAGAGGACTGCAGCTACTGGTAGTCCTCCTGTGCTGGGGAGTGGTCTCCCTCCTCCACCGCATGCAGCCTCAAGAGGGCACTTATGGAGCGAGCGGTGATCCAGCAACCAGAACAGCCAAATCAACCCCGGAAATCAATGGGGTGACAGATGTCACACCCAGGTCACCCTCACATCCAATTTCAGCTGTGTAGGAGGATGGATTAAGTATGTGTGCTCGAGATCAGCCTGGGAACACTGAGACCTAGCACCCCCCCTCCAAAAAAAGGGTCTGGGTGGAGCTGTTCTGCCTTCAATCCCCGAAGCCCCAGCTATGCTCTGGGCGCCTCCTGCAGCTCCTCTCCATGTGCAGCCAGTGGAGCTGGGGCGGGTGGAGGACCCCTTGTGCATGGCTATGCTTGCACTCGGTGCTAGTACTGGCTCACGGTTGTGTCTGCACGGAGGACCTCACAGTCGGGCTGTCCTGACAAAGGCAGAGGTTTGCAGACAGACATCAGATTACTCTAATCATCTGGTAACCCAGCTCGCCACCAGTGAGTCCCTCAGCTCTGCATGCACGTTGCTACGG